ATATATATTATATAATATATTAATATACATAATACACATTTATATATATTATATAATATATTAATATACATAATACACATTTATATATTATATAATATATTAATATACATAATACACGTTTATATATATTATATAATATATTAATATATAATACATATTTATATATTATATAATATATTAATATATTATATATATTATCTATATTATCTAATTGCCATTTTATCATCACTATTAGCCTTTTAAATATGTTTTTGACTGTTTTCAGATTTATTCTTCCATGTGAACTTTAAGACCCCTTTCTCTCATTTAAAATAAACCTTGACTTCCACACATTCTGGGGAGAGTTGGTATTCTTAGGGTATCAGTCTTCCCATGTAAAAACATTGACTGTCTTCCTATCTACTCAGATCTTGTTTTATGTTTTCCAATAACACTTTAGAGATCTCTTCATAAAAGGTCTCATACCACTTTTAGAAAATGTATTCCAAAGAATTTTATAGTGTTTGTTGCTGTTTGGATAGGATGTTTTATTCTGACTTCCAAAGCTAGCCAATTATTGTTTAATAATTACTCAAAAATAGTATTTAACATGTATCAGGCAGTATTCTAACTCATTTCATTCTCGACAACTATAGATTGAAAACTAAGGTGCAATCTACGTGGAAGAAAACTGAAGCAGAGAGAAAGTAAGTAATGTGTCCAAGCAAGTTACTTGGCCAAGGTTACGTCACTCGCCAGTCAGCTAATGAATGGCAGACCTAGGACTCAAACACAGATCACCTGGATCCAGAATCTATGCTCTTAACCACTATGCTCCGTGACCTGTGATGCCTGTATATTTATCTTGTATTCATCCAAGCACCAATTTGCTTCCAACTATTTCGTTTAACTTCTAGAGACATGTGGTTTCTGTATGTATACAACTGACATACGGTTCACAAAAGTGCCAACTTTAACGTTTTGCAAAATATAAATCAATGATTCAATTTTCTTAGTTCAGTCGCTAAAACATCAAAAACAATTCTGAATAGTACTTGTGAGAGAGGAGGTGAGCCTCTCTCATGTTCCTCATTTTAACTGAAATGGTCCTAGGATTTCAGCGGTCATCTTATATATGACTCAGATGCTTGTGTTTTTTATTCTTGTTTTACTTAGTGAGTTTTACTTTAATAAGGAATGGTTTCTAAATTTTATCCCAAACCTTTTCATCATTTATTGATAAGATCATGTTTTTCTACTTTGATTTATTAATCTAATTATGTTAATAGACTTCCTAACATTGAAAAATCCTCACATTATACCAAGGATTAGTAACTTCTTGGTTATTAATTTGGCCTAGACTATCATCCGTTTTATACATTGCTAGATTCTTCCATGCAAACAGTTATTTAGACTACTTTTCGCACATATATCAAGAAGTAATTTTGGTCTAGATAGCCCCTTTTATGTTCTACTTTAATCAAGATTTTTGGTTACTATTAAGGTTATGCCAGCTTTGTAATAGGAATTTTAGTACTTTCCATCGTGTGTGTGTGTGTGTGTGTGTGTGTGTGTGTGTGTGTGTGTGTGTGTGGTGTTAAATGGCTTTTTGAACCCTGGATTGAGCTCCACTTTAAAGGTTATGTACAATTCACCTCGGATCCTAAAATTCACCAAAAGGAACTATTTCCTTTATAATGGTAACCTTTTAGCCACTTCCCTACTCTCTTCTGAGATAATTGGTTTTGGAAAGTTTTCTTCATGTTGTGACATAATTTGGGGTCAATCATATTTTGCTAAGAAAAAATAAATTCCCCTAGATTTGAATTGCGTGGAGCAGTGCCTTTTAGTTGTTACACGGTGTTCAGTGTCTCTCCTTTTGTTCTCATTATTTTTTAATTGGGATCATCAGGGGCTTTCTATTTCCTTGGCCATTTTAAAGAATCAGCTTTTTTGTTTTTTTTTAATTTCAGTTTTATCTTGATTATCTCTCCCTTCCATTTCCTTTGCTTTATTTTCCTTCTGTTTATATTTTTACTCATCTCTTAGGATCTATAGCAAATTCCTCTTTGTTGGTCTTTATTCTTTAAATCTCCTCATTAACAATATATTTTTCCTATGATTATGCCTTTCTCTGTCTCCCACAAATTTTTAAAGTTGAACTTTCTTTTCATTGCTTTCTGTTGCTTCCTATCATAATCTAGGGTTATCATAATCCATGAGAGAAAAAAGGTTTCGTTTGTTTATCTTTTTGTTATTTATCTCAAATTTTACTGAGTTGTATGATCAAATGTTTTGATCTCTAAATCTCTACTTTTCTGATTTTTGTGGCTAAATGCACGATTGGTTTCTGTAACTATTATGTAGAATTATGAAAAATTGTATCCCTTCTATCTGATAGTTACAAATGTCTGTATATATATATATATATACATATGTTTAACTGAAAATTTATATTAATATTATATAATTGCTTCCTTATTTTTGTCTTCTAGATCTGATTCCAAAGGAGGTAAACCAAAAATATCCCCAAATGTTGTTTAATGTACGCAATTCATCCTTCTGTCTTTTATCATTTACTCTGTGGTCCTCTTTATCTTGTTTAGTGTTTTCAATAGCAAATTCTGCTGTGCCTACTAATACTGCCATTCCTTCTTTCTTTTTGCTTTGGTGGGTATTTACCTGATACTTCTTTATCGATCTCTTTATTCTCAACCATCCTTTTGCCATTTTAAGTCCGTTTATTATAAATACCCATAATTTTTAGAAACCAATGGGATAGTTCTGTTTATGTCAAACTCAGCGCATTTACATTTCATGTAATATGTAGTATAGTAGATTTGCCTTCTTTCATCTTGTTTTATGGTTATTCATGATTTTACTTGTTTCCCCTTTTTCCTTGGAGCAGTTTCTGCTACGTTGATCAGATTGCTATTCATTCCCTTTCCCTCCTGCTAATTAGGTAGGTCTACTGTGTTTTTCCCTTCCTCTAATGATCACCTCCCTTTCCTGACATTCATAGTCAAAAACATGTTTTTCATTATTATTTGAATGCAAAGTAGCAATGATTTCTCTCTACTAAAACTCCTATCCCCTGTTTCGCCCTCTCCCTTTTCGACGGAGATTCCAGAACTCTTACTTTCCTTACCACTTTCCTCCAACTCCTGGGTATTGCTGAGACAAGTGATCACTTTTTAGTCTAGCCTTTTTTCAAGGTCTCCCACGTAGCGTTGCCTAGACATTTCCAGTTGTTCTGTTATCGTCATTTGGGAATTGTCCACATACACACTGCAGAGTTGATTTCATCTGTATTGTTTTTTGAATGCTCTCTTAGACGACACGTGTACAATCTTTGCATGTCCCCAACTATCTTGAATTTACTCTGACAGACGAAGGATGTCTTCCTTGCACAGAGGATCCCCGGGCTGTAGTTCTTCTCTCCCAGTAGATGGTATTGTACTGTCTTCTCCTTTCATTGTTGCAGGTGAGACATTCATTTTGCTTCTTTTGTAAGCCAGAAGAAAAGCAACTTGTTGGTTTGTTTTTTTTTTCTCTGTAGAAGCTTATAAAATATCTTCTTTCTCTAAGGTGAAAAAAATTCTCTAGGATGAGCTTAGGGGTGTGTGTTGGGGTGAGTGTATGTGTGAGGGGGGGTGCATATACACATGTGTTTTCTTTTTAATTTTACCTGGAACTTGGTTTCTTGTTTTGAGTTGTTTCTTCTCCTTGGTCTTCAAAACTATGAATCCGGATGTGATCAGTGAACACCCTCTTTTCTTCAACTAATCTATTATATTTTTTCGTATGCAAATGGCAGCCTTCCCAGCCTAGCATTTGCTGGTTACTGTCGGTTTTCTTGTTGCTGCCTTTTTTGGTACTTGGATTTCTATAAGCACTCATACGCTTTTTCATCTAGGTTCAAGTTTTCCTCCTCTATCTTCATTGCTCATGTTCGTCAGCAGCTTCCTGACCGGTTTGTCTTGCAGCCTATCCCACTTCCTGCAATTTGGGTGCCGCTAAGCACGTTGTGGCTTTCCGGGGGTGCTTTAGTGGTAAGTCCTGCTAGACTCTAGAGACAAATCTCTCCCCTCCGTTTTCCTGGGCTGGCACTCCAATATCAGAGCAGAGAAAACCCATCTGGTTGGTTCCCTCAGCTCCTGAGGGGCCAAGGAAACCAGCTGCTCTTGCAAGGCAACTTTCAGTCCCAGAAGGACCATGGAGAGGCAGGTCAGTCTCTGTCTGCCACAAAGTCACAGTCTTCTTCCTGATCTTCACCCCAGGGCTGCACCCCATTCTGAGCGCTCATCCGACCAAAAGGGAAAAACTACCTGCATCAGCTTTGTCCTTCGGGGACTCTGTAGAATCTTAGATCTCCTTTGCACCCTGGATCACTGTCCAGCTCAGAGCAAGTAAGGAGTTGTCTGGGGGATGGGTCGATGAGGCTTCATTCAAGCCACCGTAACGCTGGAATCCTGGACACGGGGTCACAGGAAACCCTGGACTGCTCCTCTAATGTTCTTTTCTTTCACAGAACAGGGTTATCCTTGGTAAGGGAGAGGCCGAGCATCTGGAATATTTGTACAGAAGATAAACTCAGGATGCAGCCCACTAAGGAGGTGCAGCCGTCAAAAATCAGGGCCTGTGGGGTCTGCTACCCTTGAACTAGTCTTAGATGAGC